CCCCCCCCCCCCCTAACTTTTATGGTCTGCGTCCGCCCCTGGTAACAATCTGCCAGTTGTAGTCAGAACCATTAGAAACTAATTATAGAAATTAATATTCATTTTCAATTCAAACAAATTAGATTTTAGAATTTACAAATATGAGGTCAATAACGATAACACACTCATTTCTTTCTTTCTACTCCGTTGTTCTCAATGAAGTAAAGCTTTCATGACAACGGTATGAAACCATGATATAAGTTCGACAAAAAGTGTTTAATATTGCTTATAATACATTTTTACAACTATTGTTCTATATATGAAGAGAATGAAACACTTACAAGGAGAAGCTGCTGCAACCAATGTCCCGAAAGTAGCATTAGCCCTCTTCGGTAGAATGATGGGCTCTTAGGAATAGAAGTGCGCATGAATGGAGCTTCTAGGATTGTGTTGACTCAAGCCTCTATATGATATATATAAGTGTGAAATAAAAGCTTCATGCAAGATAACTGTAATTTTGGTTAAGTGGTTGTTGGGGTTTTTTCTCAAGGAACTGGTGCTATTGTAGAATCCATTTTTCCAAAATAAAATATACTTTGCTTGACTACCAAATCGGAGAAATTACTCGCATAGACTTTTATTTATCTTTCGATGTGGAAATATTGGAAGCTTTTCTACAAATGAAAGTAACATTCTTCCAATAATTCAAAAGATATAAATAACTTTAAGAGACTTAAAAGTCCACCAATACCCAACATTTTCTAGTAGAATGTGGAGATTTTCTTAAGAAAATGAAAGTAGCTTAAAGTGTGTAAAAGTGTAAATCCTAAATGGTTTGTTTTATGTAAGGCTAGATAAAGCTGTAATTTATGTTTGATATCCATTATAATTAGTTTTTTGGGATAATGTATTTTGGGATACTGATTTTTTTGAAGAATGTGTAGTTAAAAAAAAAAAGGAAAAGTTTTGGGTTTATGTGTAATATTATTTTACTTGAGAGTGTGGTTGATATGAAGAGACAAAAAATTGAATTATAATTTTAATGGGCCAAACATGGGCTTAGTTATTTACATAGGAAAGTAATTTATTTATTTATTTATTTTTGACAGTCACAAGAAAGGTTTTCATGGTTACTAAGAAAAATTAATTTATATTATTTAGCTTAGTGCATAGAAGATCGATATATAGAAGTGTTTAATATTGCTTATAAGACATTTTTATAACTAGTCTTGTTCACATCCGTCCTCGAGTAGACATTTTTAAGTGGGCATGAATGTAGCTTCTAGGACTATTTTTGGCTGGTGTTTTATCTCAAGGGACTGGTGCTATTATGGACTCCATTTTTTCCAAAACTAAAACAAACTTTGATTGACTACAAAATTGGAGAAACTATTACATTGGATGCACAGACTTTTCTTTATCTTTCTATGTGGACATTGTGCAAGTTTTTCCACATATGAATGCATTCCTCCAATAATCCAAGAGAAATAATTAGCTTTTAGGGGTTTCAAAGTCCACTGATATCCCCCACATTTTCTAGTAGAATGTGGAGATTTTCTTAAGAAAATAAAAGTATCTTAAAGTGTGCAAAACTCTAAATCCTAAACGGTTTGTCTTGTGTAAGTCTAGATATTGCTTGAATTTCCGTTTACAGAAGAAAGTTTTTTTTTTTTTTTAACAGTCGGAATAAAGTTTTTTTATGCTTACTAAGAACACTTGATTTAAACTATTTAGATTAATGTGATAACATTTGGTATATTTGAAAAAATAAAAGTTAGGTTAACTCGATATATCAATTCTAGCTATCAAAGACAGACTAGAATCGACCGGTTCTTGCATTTAATAACCAAAATCGATTTAAATTTAAGCAGAACAAGCCCAGTCCCATCCAGATGCTTCAATATTACTCAATTTTCTTCGAAGGGAATTTAATGAAATTGGTTTTGGTTTATGCTCAAACATTTCCTGGTTTCCTCGATATTCAACTCATTCAAGCTATCTTTGATATAAGTGTGGGTGTGTATATATGAAATAAAAGCTTCGTGCAAGATAAGTGTACAAGGGTTATTTAAGGGTTATTTTTGGTTATGTGTTGGTTGGGGTTTTATCTCAAGAAACTGGTGCTATTGTGGACTCCATTTTTCCAAGAATAAAACAAACTTTGCTTGACTACCAAACCAGAGAAATTACTTGCATAGACTTTTCTTTATCTATCCATGTCGAAATTGTGCAAGTTTTTCCACTAATGAAAGTTACAGTCTTCCAATAATTCAAAAGAAATAAATAACTTTAAGAGAGTTCGAAGTTCACTAATACCCATCATTTTCTGGCTGTAATAGCCGGCTGTTATGATAGACATAAAAATAAAGAATTTCTTGTTCAGTGTTTGATCAATTTTTGAGATTTTGTTGTTGAAACAGAAGAAAAATGAGAGAGCTTTTAACTGTGTTGAAATAAATAGATAAGAAAAGTTAGCTGATTTTGAAATTTTATGTGGAAAGTGTTTAGTTTTTACTTGTTAAATAAAATGGTAGTATTGTATTTTAGTTAAAAATGGATTTTTTTTTTTTTGTAATTATATTGTTTAGCATTTTTGTCTTTTACAATTCAAAAGGCCATTATCGAAATATACAATTGTTGAAAATTTGAAGAGAAAATATGGGGGTTTGACCAGGCCATTTTTAAAAGTACCCCCTTGGAAATCATGTAGTTCATGGGTTGGATATTACTCGGATCCTGCTTTCTTAAAATCCAGCTCACTAGAAACATTTGTTGGGTCGGTTTATAAGGTAGAAAGAGCCACAATTGATACACCAGAAGCCCCAGACAACAAAATGAGTTGTTGAGATGGAGAGGCGTTGTGGAGAATAATATGAACTGATTAAATACTTGAAATTAGATGCCGCCCCAATATGACAATTTCAAATGAACACATTTTCTTGTTCAATTTCTTGGATTGAATTTAACAAAAATAAATAAATAAATAAATAAACTAAAAAGATTCGGGGTTTGGAGAATTAGGAGCATTTGCTATTATGTTCTTAAAAGCCCTCCATTAAGAATTTCATCACTGAGTTAATTCAACGTAACATTGAAATAGAATACTATTGTTTTACGACTTTAATTTTCCTAGTTTCAATATGACTATGAGGTTTCCAACCAAACTCAAGAGCTAACAATACACGTGTATCGATTGATTTGAGCAAAATCATCATTCAATTTATTTCAACATTCGTAGTTTGTACTATCAAAAAAAGGTGGTCTATAAAGAACTCTTATGTGTTCTCATTAAGAACCAAACCTACTTGTCTTGTTCCACCTCGGTTATGCTTTGACAAAATTAAGTTTTAATCTTCTTGAGCCTTGTTAGAACATCTTTAGCATTGTGCCTCTCCTCGGGCAAATCAGTCGTGCATTCTAGTGCTACTTCCATTATTAATTTGAAGCAGCTCTCCTTAACTCGAATATTATCTTCAGCAGCATTCACTAAATCGACATCTACTATGTGCATTATTTCATTTGGGAATGATTCAAGCACCCATTTCCTCATTGTGAACTCTCCGACAAACATATCATCTGTTGGCTTCTTTTTGGTAAATGTTTCCATCAGCATAATCCCATAACTATAAACATCCACCATAGTTGATACTAATCCAGTTGATCCATATTCTACAAAATTGGGATGTGTGATCAAATTAACTAGTTTAATGATAAATGACGGATGAATAAAGCAAGAACTAGAAAGTAATACATGGTTACACTATTATCGTTCACAGATACACAAGTAGATGAAAGAAACCATTACCTGGAGCATATATCCAATGGTGCCCAACGTCTTGGTAATCAAAATTCTCTGGTCTTCAGTGAAAAGCTTGGCAATGCCAAAGTCTGCAACATGGGCAACCATATCTTCATCTAAAAGTTTGTTGCTCGGCTTCAAATCACAATGGACAATTGGATAGGGATACCCATAATGTAGATACCCTAGCGCAGATGCCACATCGATCATTATTTCCAATCTCTGAGCTAAATTTAGGAAATAGTAGCTCGAAGACAGCCATTTGGTAAGGTTTCCATTAGGCATATATTCCATCACCAAGGCTTTAAGATCAAGCTTAGAGCAGCTGCTAATTACCTTGACAAGATTTCTATGAAGAATGTTGCACAATATTTTGCACTCAGTATCAAAACTGTGGTTTGCACCTTCCAAATCCAGATTAAAAATCTTAATAGCAACAATCATTTTGTCTGAAAATATTCCTTTGTAAACTGAACCAATACTGCCTTTGCCAATCAGATTCTCTTCCCCAATTTTATTTGTAGCATTTAGTACTTCATAATATGAAATTCTCTTGATAGTGACAGGGGAAGTAGACTGAGCTGGAGGAAGTGTATTTAGGGAACGTGTTCAAAAAGGACGACAAGGTTTGTTAATTAGCAAACATGGTGCACAATTGGGCATAATTGTCATAATGTAATGATAGTAATTTCGTACTCCTGGTTAGTAGGAATCGTCGTTATCCTCAAATTCTCCCGAACACGTTTTGCCTAAGGGGTTTAAATATAGTAGATTTTGTTTGCAATGAGGAAACACTATTGATTGAAGAAAATGGTTCAATTAAACACATGCAACTGCCTAAATGAATTGTTCATTACCTTTGCCAAGTCAATAGAAAAGGGGTCCTTCACATTTCGGTTTGCAATAAGAAAGTCTACCACAAGACCAGGCTGAATTATCATGGTTGTAGATACGTCTGTAAACAAAAGAAAAAGGATAACATCATAATTAACAAGCACAACGAAATTATTGAACAGGAAGGTGATTTAATTAAAATTAGCAAATGAAGAAAACAACATGCAAACAAAGTTTTACCTACGTTCAAAGGCAAGCCTCCCTGAGAGGTTCGGAAACTCGAGTGGAATCCTCGACATCCAAGAACTCCTCCTCCAACGTCAGTGAAGTTCCTCAGATTATTGTCAAAGAAAGATTGACGAACCAGTAGGCAACGCCTGCCATTGAACATATAGTTAAGTACATATCATGTCTTAACGACTTCAAGTGATAAATGTGTGTTAGACAGTCGCACAGTAATTTATTTGCCAAACATGTAATTACTTTTTTTACTATTTGACTTGCTATTTCAGAAAGTAAGTTACTTATTTTACCATTAGAACTTGAGGCTTGCTTCACTCTTTGTGGATGTAGACACATTGTTAAACTATTTTAGATCCTCTATTTCACTTCTCTATTATTGCTCTCTATTATATAAAAAATCCAACAAGTCTTGACTTACTTTCAAGAAAAGTAACATTTTATCATACTCAGTATAATCTAATTCATGTCATAACGACTTCAAGCTAGAAGGGAGCACAAATTTACTATTACTTTGGTAATATAACAAATTTCCCTTTGTTTTTTAAGCTTCCTCAGCTCTTCGAGCGTCCGAATCAAGATCTCGGGTCCCGTTTCCATGTTGTTGCAGAACATCCTCGACTTCATGCAACTGCCTAAATGAATTGTTCATTACCTTTGCGAAGTCAATAGAAAAGGGGTCCTTCACATTTCGGCTAGCGATAAGAAAGTCTACCACAAGACCAGGCTGAATTATCAAGGTTGTAGATACGTCTGTAAACTAAAGAAAAAGGATAACATCATAATTAACAAGCACAACGAAATTCTTGAACAGGAAGGTGATTTAATTAAAATTAGCAAATGAAGAAAACAACATGCAAACAAAGTTTTACCTATGTTCAAAGGCAAGCCTCCCTGAGAGGTTCGGAAACTCGAGTGGAATCCTCGACATCCAAGAACTCCTCCTCCAACGTCAATGAAGTTCCTCGGATTATTGTCAAAGAAAGAATGACGAACTAGAAGGCAATCCCTGCCATTGAACATATAGTTAAGTACATATCATGTCTTAACGACTTCGAGTGATAAATGTGTTAGACAGTCGCACAGTTATTTATTTGCCAAACATGTAATCACTTTTTTTACTATTTGACTTGCTATTTCAAAAAGTAAGTTACTTATTTTACCATTAGAACTTGAGGCTTGCTTCACTCTTTTTGGATGTAGACACATTGGTAAACCATTTTAAATCCTCTATTTCACTTCTCTATTATTGCTCTCTATTGTATAAAAAATCCAACAAGTCTTGAATTACTTTCAAGAAAAGTAACATTTTACAATACTCAGTATAATCTAATTCGTGTCATAACAACTTCGAGCTAGAAGGGAGCACAAATTTACTATTACTTTGGTAATATAACAAATTTTCCTTTGTCTTTTTTGTCAATGAAGGTCCTTCGCTAATGTTAAACTAACATGGGAGCAACAAAACAGAAATTACGTGCCAGTGAAGTGGTAATATAGGTAACAGAATGAATTCTTTCTACTAATACTCCCAACTGTATGAATTCAATGTTAGCTATAGTGCCAGTAGACAAAAGAGCAAAAAATAAAAGGTAATTAACTATCTAATTGTACACTAACAGATGCAAGGGAAACTTTTCAGTTGGAATAGAATTGAACCATGTTAAATAAGCCTCAAAATTTCAAAAGAGTTCTAAATAAGTAAACAATCTTGCACAAAAAATAATAAATGCTAAGTATTATTCATTTGCATCCTTTCAATAACACTTTTTGTTGACCATAAAATCTGAGTGCAAATTATAAAATCCTAAACACAAAAGTAATCAAGCAAATAGAGGTGAAAGAAACAGAACAAATGCACAAAATAAGAGGCCAGAACTGAATATAACAAAAAATGTCCGCCGAAATTGATAAACACAAAGAAGTAATCGAGCAAATACAAATGAAAGTAGAAGAAATAGCACAAATATGCACAAGAAGAGACAGAAAATGAAGGGAAAAAAAATTCAACTAAAATTTCTTAACCTTAAATATAGCGACAAAATCGAGCAAGCAGGAAAATTTTGAACAAAATAAATAGAGAAAATCGAAAGATTCTCGTTTGAAATTGGCTTATCTTAAACAAAGAGAACAAATCGAGCACATAGGAAAAATAATGCAATTGTTCACCGGAGAGAAGACTGTCAATGATTGGGGGTGAGGGAAGGAGAAGACGGAATAGATTGAAGTATCAACTTACGGTTGCCTCTCATATTGGGAGATGTCTGTACGCTGTGAGGACGCAAGACCCTCTTATTGTTGGAAGACGACGTCTTGATGCAACTTTTAGGAGATGGAATTTGGAGAAAATTGGGCATTTTATCTTCAAGATGGGTTTCAACCTTTCACGAACCAAAACAAAAACAAAAATTAAACGAAGGTCATATTCAGAGCCCACGACGTGGCAAAATAAGTTTCATTCTTCACTTTCCTAACCGCCCAGATCGGGCCAGTATAGACTCCCCAATCGACTCCGATCGGTCGGCTTCATATACCTTGCACCAGACCAAAGAATGCTCCTTTTCTTTACCAGTTTCGAAGATTTCTTTAAAGAAAGGGAGAAAGATTATGGCGGGGCGGTGGAGGAGTAGAGTGGCGTCTTCAAAGTTTTCTTTGCTTTCGTCTGTACGGGAAAAGAAATGGAAATAGAGATGGGTTGCAAGAAAGCAAAGCAATAAAGTAGGGGGAGAAGATATTTTGTGATATAGACTGTTACGTAACCAGTTATAATGTGAAAGGTAGGGCACGCATTGAACAGTGAAAGGTGAATCCTCTCTTTTAAAGGAAAGGTGATATACTTATTTACCCAAAAACTCTTGAATTGATATATCCGTTGCTGATGCTATGGGTGCAAGTTATAGCTAGTAGCTACGTACCATATCTAGTACAGATTATCTTCCAACCATAAAATTTGTTTTTGGAAAACTTGTTGTAAGTAAAATGCAACTATGGTCTAGGGAGGAATGCCTCGTGCAGCCACTCTTAGAGAGTGCAAAACATTGGAAAGCATAGTGAAGAATCAGGCTGCTGATGGCCGCCCATATGCTGCAATATGTGCAGCTCCTGCAGTTGTGCTTGGATTGTTAGAATCATCACATCAGCTCTCCACCTCAGCCACGACTTCTCACAGCTCAGCAAAATGTCAGCAACAAAAAGGATGATTCTGGAATACATGAGCTGGATTTCTGTTAGGGATGTTCTGTTGAATTTGTTAGAGAATCATATATATTTTCATACATGTAAATACTATAAATATGCAGCTTTATATATTGTAAATTAAGGCAAATAAATCAACTTATAGAGCAATTCGTCTGTAGCATTCTCCATCTCTTTTATCTTTTCAATTCCTAGTTTGATTAAATCTGAAATGGTATCAGAGCTATAAACGGCTGAAGAAAATACCGATTCATCAATCGACCCCAATCCTTCTGTCAATTCCCTCATCAACGCCAATCCTAAAGATCCCTCCAGCCCATATTTCCTCAACCCAAATGATGGTCCTAGAACTCTTCTTACAAATCACGTACTCACAGCGACAACTATCATGCTTGGGCTCGCACAGTCCGTCGTTCCCTTTGAATCAAGAAAAAACTCGGTTTCATTGATGGCATTCTCTGTCAACCTTCTGCCCCCAATGATGCTCTGTTAGAACCATCCGAACTTACGTTACTGTACCAACACTGAACCCTCCAAAATGCTATGTCTCTTGAAATTAAAAATAGCGTTGTGTATGTTGAGACAGCTCATGCCTTGTGGCTTGAATTGGAGCAGCATTTTGCACAAAATAATGGACCACGAATTTTTGAATTAAAGCAATCCATCCATTCCCTTGCCCAAGGTGAGGATTCTATCAGCCTCTATTTCTCTAAATTGAAAGGATTATTTGATGAGCTTCTCAATTTTGAATTCATTCCATCTTGCACTTATGGTGCTATGAAACCTGTGCTTGAAAACAAGCAGCGTGACTGGATGATGAAGTTCCTTATAAAATACATCAATACGAAGAGCAATTTCTCTGCAATCTTCTTCTCTTCATTTATTTTCTCAACTCTCAGTTTTAAAACGGTTATGGTATCAGAGCAATAAATGGCTACAGAGAACAACGATTCATCAGTCAACCCCAATTCTTCTGTCAATAACTATCCCTTCATCAATACCAACCCTAAAGACCCCTCTAGTCCATATTTTTTCAGCCCAAATGATGGTCTTGAAACTCTTCTTACAAATCATCTACTCACAGCTCATAATTACCATTCTTGGGCTCGCACAATACGTCGTTCACTTATAATCAAGAAGAAACTTGGTTTCATTGATGGCCTTCTCTGTGAACCTACTGCGCCAAACGATACCCTATTAGAACCATGGCTTGAATGCAATGATATGGTTGTGACTTGGCTCCAAAATGCTATGTCCCTTGAAATAAAAAAATAGTATTGTGTATGTTGAGACAGCTCATGCCTTATGGCTTCAGTTAGAACAGCGTTTTGCACAAAATAATAGACCACGAATTTATGAATTGAAGCAGTCCATCCATTCCCTTGCCAAAGGTGATGACTCTATCAGCCTCTATTTCTCTAAATTGAAAGGTTTGTTTGATGAGCTTCTCAACTTTGAGTTCATCCCATCTTGCACTTGTGGTGCTATGAAACATTTGCTTGAGAACCCGCAGCATGACTGGATGATGAAATTCCTTATGGGAGTCAATGATTCCTTCACCAACATTAAAGCCCAAATTATTCTCATCAAACCCACCCCCACCTTAAGTGAAGTTTATGCCCTTGTTCAACAAGAAGAGAAACGCAAATAGATCTATCATACTCCCAACCTCCATGATACTCTTGCTCTGGCTGCCAAGAGTCATTTTCCAAATATCAGGGACAACACCAGACATTTTGGCTATCAGAAGAGGGAAAAGCTTTACTGCACTTTTTGCAAAGTTTCTGGCCATTCCTTGGACAAATGTTTCAAGGCCAATCCACATCTTGAGAAGCCAACTTGCACTCACTGCAATCTCCCAGGTCATAATGTTGATAAATGCTACAAATTACATGGCTATCCACCAGGCCATAAACTTGCCAATCGAGGCACAGCTTCTGAGCATTTGGTCAATCAAGTTAGTCTTTCGAGCCATGAACAGATCACTGAGGAATCCCAGGTTGCTCTTATAAAACAGCAATATCAACAGCTCATTACTTTGCTCCAGTATCAGGTTACGCAGTCTGCTGCCAATCTTATTCAGTCTCCTGCTACATCTCAAGTTAGCTCTAATTTTCCCTTGGCTTCCACCATGTCTGGTATATCATCTTGTTTCTCAGCCTCTCACAAAGCATCTTCACACAACACTCCTTGGATCATAGACACGGGTGCTACAGATCACATGATCTGCTGCACATCGATTTACACTTCTTTGCCTAGCAAAGTGCATTTCCAAGTTAAATTTCCAAATGACACTCATGCTATCGTTACTCACAAAGGCATTGTTCAAATCAATAAGAATCTCACTCTTAATGATGTTTTATGCATTCCATCTTTTAATTTTAAACTCCTTTCAACCCATAAATTAATCAAAGACCTTAACTGTTGCATCCTCTTTTTTCATAATGAATGTTATTTGCAGGACCTTTTCACTTGGAGCACGATTGGGAAGGGTAAGGCTTACAATGGCCTTTATCACCTACAGTTGACAGAAGTTCCTCCCACAGCTCTCTCTTCTATTTTGCCTCAGTTACCTTTTAATCAATCTTCCATTTCTGCTTCAGTTACTCCTGCAAATAGTCACCACTTATGGCATTGTAGATTGGGTCACTTGTCTGACTCAAGTTTATTTTTATTGAAGCAAGATTTACCTCACTTGAAATTAATGAATCAGAATGTTCCCTGTTCAACCTGCCATTTTTCTAAACATCACAGATTACCATTTTCAATTAGTTACAGTCGGGCATTGAAACCTTTTGATCTCATTCATTGTGACATATGGGGGCCTTGCTCCCAAATGACACATGATGGATCCAAATATTTTTTAACCATAGTTGACGACTTCTCAAGATCCACATGGGTTTATCTAATGAACAATAAATCCTAAACTAGAGCAATTCTCCAATCATTTTGTTCCCATGTTGAAACACAATTCCACACAACAATTAAAGTCATTCGATCTGATAATGGCAATGAATTTGCAATGACAAATTTCTATATACTAAAGGGTATCATTCATCATAAGAGTTACATTGAGACCCCCCATCAAAATGGCGTTGTCGAACGGAAACACCAACACATTTTAAATGTTGCTCGTGCCTTAAAATTCAGATCTAATGTTCCCCTCTCTTTTTAGGGTGATTGTGTTTTGACTGCCACTTATTTCATTAATAGAACACCATCTCCTGATTTATAAAATCAAACTCCCTACGAGCTCCTTTTTCAAGCCAAACCAACTTACACTCATTTACGAACATTCGGCTGCCTATGTTATGCCTCTACATTAAAACAAAATAGGCACAAATTTGATTCTCGAGCAAGAAGTTGCATTCTACTTGGCTACCCCTTTGGCGTTAAAGGCTACAGCTACTTGACTTGGACACTAAGTCCATCTTTCACTCCCGTGATGTCACTTTCTATGAAGAAATTTTTCCTTATAGCAATACCACCATCCCCTCTACTTCACAACCAGCCTCACCAGCTTCGTTTCCTATCCCAATACATCCTATCCCTTCACCCCAAACTGACTTCATTTCAGAAAATATATCTCCTCCATTTTCTTTTCCCACTTCAGCTTCTCCTTCTACAACCCCTCCTAACACCTTTTCTCCTACCAATTTTCATTCTCCCAGTTCATACTCAGACTTCTCTTCTGAACAGACCTATTCACAAACTCAGTTTCTTCCTCGCATATCACACAGATCAAAGAAAACTCCACCCTACCTTCAGGATTACTACTGTCATCAGGTCATTGTGCCTATTGCTTCTCCATCAAGCTCCAAGGTAACAGGTACCGCCCTTAATACTCCTCTTTATCCATTATCTTCTATTTTATCTCTTGCCAAATTATCACCTACACATGCTGCTTTTGCTACTTCTATCCTTAATCACACTGAACCACATTCTTATGCACAAGCTGTGAAGAACTTAGACTGGAGCAAAGCCATGGACAATGAGATTGCTGCTTTAGAACTCAATAACACATGGGATATCATTGATCTGCCAACTGGTAAGAAAGCTATTGGCTCCAAATGGGTTTACAAAATCAAATACAATTCAGATGGGACAATTGAGAGACATAAGGTACGTTTAGTTGCCAAAGGTTACACCCAAGAAGAGGGGCTTGATTACCATGAAACATTTTCTCCCGTTGCCAAACTTGTGACTGTCAAGACCTTACTAGCTGTTTCTGCCATCAAAGGTTAGTTCCTACACCAATTTGATGTTAATAACGCCTTTCTCCATGGCGAGTTGGAAGAAGAGGTGTTTATGAAAATACCCCCTGGATATGTTGTTCAAGGCCAAAATAAAGTTTGCAAGTTAAGAAAGAGCTTATACGGCCTTAAACAGGCCTCTCGACAATGGTATGCGAAATTCTCCACTTATTTACTTCAATTTGGATTTACTCAGTCCCGAGCTGGCTATAGCATTTTTACAAAACAATCTGACCACCCTTTTATAGCATTGCTTGTTTATGTCGATGATATCATTGTGGCATCAAATGACCCTCATGGTATTTCTGCTCTAAAAACATTTCTGGCTTCACAATTCAAGATAAAAGATCTTGGTACTCTCAAGTACTTTCTTGGCTTGGAAATAGCCCGAAACTCCAGTGGCATCCAACTTTGCCAAAGAAAATATGCCCTTGACATTTTGCATGATGCCGGTTTACTTGGCTGCAAGCCCAGTTTACTCCCTATGGATCCAAACCTCAAGTTAAGTAAAGATGAAGGCAAGCTACTACCTGATTTATCTTTCTCAATTAATATGCTCAGCCAATACATGAGTCAACCTCGTGTTCCTCACCTTCAAGCAGCTTACAAAGTTCGGCATTATGTCAAAAGGTCCCCTGGCCAAGCCGAATATAGATCAATGGCTGCTGCCTCTTGTGAGCTTGTTTGGTTGAAATATTTAATGATCTCACAATTTTACATCCACAACCAGCTGCCCTTCATTGTGATAGCAAATCTGCTCTCCACATTGCCTCCACCCCGTTTTCCGTGAGCGGACCAAACACATCGAATTAGATTGTCTTCTAATTCGGGATAAAATTCAGGAAGGTCTCATTGCCACTGCTTACACGCCATCACACTCTCAACTGGCTGACATTTTCACCAAAGCACTTCACTCTCCTTTGTTCTATTCTTTCTTGCTCAAGATGGGAGTCATTGACATCCACTCTCCATCTTGCGGGGGGATGTTAGAATCATCACAGCAGCTCTCCACCTCAGCCATGACTTCTCACAGCTCAGCAAAATGCCAGCAACAAAAGGATGATTCTAGAATACATGAGCTGGATTTCTATTAGGGATTTTCTGTTGAATTTGTTAGAGAATCAGATCTGTTTTCATACATGTAAATACTATAAATATGCAGCTTTATGTATTGTAAATTAAGGCAAATAAATCAACTTACAGAGCAATTCGTCTGTAGCCTTCTTCATCTCTTTTATCTTTTCAATTCCCAGTTTGATTAAATCTGAAATGGATCGTGGGGTCTCTTGAAGGGG